TAAAGTTGTATAAAATCACAATTTTATCAGAGATAGGATGGAATAAAGTTGAGAAGCTATGAAGGCATTACAAATGCTGTCCATATCTGCACTACCTAGAAATAAGTGTTAAGCAAATGTTGATCGATTTTATACAACCTTTCAGGTCATGTTCTTTGCATTTAAAATGTTAAATCTCAAATCACCAGCATTTGTAATACTCTGTTTTAGCAATCCCTACTATTATAGAGTATTTTAAAGAATAAATATGATTTTGGCTATCTTAAAAGCAGAAAAAAAACCGAACCTACCAGAATCACCAGGAGAGAGAGAACAAATATGGAAAGAAGAACAAAATGGTAACAGAAAAACAATAAGGGTGAAGGGGGTCATAGAAGTAGAGACCTCCACATAAAGCTGTATCCGGCAGTGTTTCTTTCCTCACTGAAATCCTTTAAAAACTAAGATGTCAGAACATCAGACCATCCCATCTGATTTATGATCCACTGTCAACCACTGTTGTCAACCGACTGTAGAGGCTGATGTTGTGAAATCTTTAGGACATGAAAGAGGCAATTGTTTGTGTTCACATGTAGGCATGTGTGTGCATATGTATTCTTGTGCGTGTTTTCATTTATTCATTAGAAGCTGTATATTACTCGCCCACAGAGAACCACACTGTGGAGCCTGAGGCCCTGATGGGTTTACCCAGAAAAGACTGTCTGTTCTTGAGGTGGCTGAGCCCTTACAACATCGCAGGGAACTGTTTTTGTGGTCGGAAATTAAATATTTAAGAAATAAAAGTGGGAATATTATAGGCATAAAAACCACATCCTGCAAATCTCTTTATGCTGCCTTTTTGATCAGTGGGATTATAATATTGTATTTAGCCACAGTAGGTAGTTATGTCAGGCAGAGGAGAGTTGAAGTTGTGTACAGTATTAGTGTACTGAGATAGAGATCAGAGGTTAATGATGGGAATCAGACAGGAACGAGACATTACTTTCAACGTACGGCTAATCTCCAGACCAGGCGCCTTGAGCTATGTCTGATAACATTGCTAATTATTCCAGATATAGACTCAGCGGGGATTCTTGTAAATAGGCATATCAGTAGCTGAGTTTATTAATAGGGCACTTTACACTGACTCAACGATACCATTGTTTGTACAAGGGAAACCTTAAAAATCCCGACCTCTGCGTGTTACGGGTTGTAGTTCATACAGCGAAGACACACCTGAAAACATGTGTGTTACCTCATCATTAGGACTACAATGGAAATGAACTGTGAGCAACGTCACCTAAAGAGAGCCAGGCTACATTAATGAACTAACTGCCCGCTTCGAGGTATGTAGTGCATTAAGGTAAATCTATACCAGGTCTAGGCCGTTTGAACACTAACTTTGCCACACTCACTCTCGCTCACTCAGCCATGGGTTCACACACCTGTAATGAAAAAGGACTGGCATGCTGTGTGCAGGAAATAAGGAAACAAAGAAGTTGCCGGTCTGACATCATTACAGCACTCTGGGAGATGCCTGGGGGCCTGGGCTGAGGCTGAAGCCTGCAGCCATGCCTCAGGGTTAGGGTCTTCGTTGTAATGAGTGGATATGAAGGTTTCTAGAGTCCTTTAACCCTGACTAGATCTGTGCAAGTGGGCCCAGAGGTTAGGACCAGATCTGATACTTAACCTTGTCTGTTCTCTGCTCCTTCAATGCTTTACAATCTGAAAATCCTCAGGTAGGGTAAGCCTGAATATGTGCCAGATATTTAAAGGCCGAATGATTTGACAGAGAAAACAAGAACAAATGTTTTTTTCCTAATTTTCCTGTCAATTCTCGCCATGCCAGTTTGGTTAATTACATGTTGTCTCCTTCTCAAGTGATGCACTGTGGTGGTATTTGCTGAAGGGGTTGTTACATTATATTTATTGTCGTGCCTTGGTGACGGAGACCATGGTGGCCAATATCATTGTGGTGACTGTTCTCACATAATCATGCCTGTTTCTGTGCTTCTCTGGAAATCTGCTTCCAAACTGATCAGAAATGTCAAATACCTCAGAGCCAACACAGTCGAGGCTGAGCTTAGAAAATACCAGTGAGGGACAACCACAGAATATGTAAAATACAGCACGGTCTCCCACAGAAATGTCCTGTTTGCTGTTTTAAGAATGTGTAAATGCAGAAATGAAGCGTTGCTAAATTTAATGTTGCTCTGGCTCCTGTAGGAATTGAACACGTTGATAAATCCCTAAAGGACACAGAAGACTTCAGACTCCAAACCATGACCACTAAGATTACTCTGTTATATGTGACAGAGGACAAAATGAACCAGGCAGAGAGAGAAAAGTAATATAAGTACATGAGAGAAAGGCAAACTTTTTGGCACGATATATAGCATCATTTATGGTTGTCATGGGGCTTTTTTTAGGCACACATTGTCCCAGAACAGGCCTAAAGTTATCAAGCGACCTCCCATGACCTTAGCATCTAATCCAATCAAACAGCACCATAAGTGGGAGCATATATCTCAAGCCAATCGTGTTAGAGCGTACAAATAGGATTATGGGGTTTTTAGTGTGTGGATTCCACCCAAGAGCTTTCATTTGACTACTTACACACATGGCATTGTGTTCACATTGTCAGAGCCTTCCTGCCTGGTCTTGCATTCCAGCTTTTTATTTCTGTCGCCATCTCTCTGTCTCTTCCTCTCCTTGCATCTACTGTAGCCTCTGGCGCTCCAACCACGCTGTCCTTGCACAGCAATCTGGTATCATTTCTTATTGTAACCTGGGGAGCGAACACACAAACTCAAACACACACACAAATATATACCGCACTCCTCCCAGATGTCCATGGGGGGAAGTCATTAACAGTGTGTCTGCAGTAAAGCACAATTGCTTCTCTGTGTGAGAAGTGTGTTTGTTGCAGGAAGGTGAGGAGAAGGTGAGAGGACTAATTAGTCATCAGATAGAGTGCATGGCCAGGTAGACCAAAAGCATTCCTCTCGCACGGAGTCGCCATAGATAAGCGGCACCAATGTAGCCCTGGTGCCAGACTGACTCAGCTTTCAACTCTGCACTCTAGGCTGTTTTGCCAAGAGAACAACAAAGGAGCTGGATGGAGCACAACTGTTCCCATGCTTTCTGGTAAGGAGACATGAAGGTGGTTTCATGTTAAGGACATAACCCAAAATGTGGCAGACTGACTCAGAATAGATAGATTATTGTTGTGTTATTGCTTAATTTACTTACTGTGTTGCCTGAATATCTTTGTTAAAGCAGATGTTATGCAGATTTGCTGAGGAAATAAGACCATAAAACCTCAGATGATAAAATTAGAATGTGCCATTAGATGGAATATTTATGTTCTCTTTGAACAAAAGCCAGCGATGTGTGTGTTTCATCTGCACATCTGTACATGCACAGAGATGTGAATAACAGCCGGGTAAAGCTGTTATCAAACTGTTGTAATGTGATTCCAGTTAAGATTAATGGACAGCTTCTTCATTCGTTTATCAAAGGTAAAAAAGTGCCCATTTTATGGCCGTACCGACATGGAGTTATTTTATTTTAAATACACAGCCCTCTCCTAATGGAGACTGTAAAGACAGGGCAAGACCCCACAAGTTACAGCCGTCTGCCAACATACAGCTTGATCTCTATATCACTTTCACTGTGCACGTGCATTCATGCCATATGAAATATTGAACTGTGCACGGAACTTTACCATCGTTACACTTTAAGAGATGCTTTGGATTTCATACATTAAAAACAACCACAAAGCAAACACAAATTCCATTCATTTATTTGGCCTGCAGAGCCCTTTTTTTAATTTCTGCCGCACTATAAAGACACAACCACCCATTCATTAGATCGATTGCACAACACAACCCCTGTGGTGATTCCCCTCTTTGTATATTGCTTTAACAAACAGTGCAATATTAAATCTGGGAGAAATGATGCAAAGGTTGACCCGATGGGGACATAATGTGAGACTGGTTTGTGGCAGGAGTCTTGGGAACTCATTTCAACATCACCCCATGGGGTTTTTGCATAAATGAGTGATGTGGTGTACATTAACATTAAATAAGTAGAACTCATCAGTCCCATGCAAAACAGTTTCTTTTTAGAGATTGTGGTGTTTTTCTTCCGCCTCTCTATGGGAGGCCATATTGCACTCTGTTTACGTCTGTCCTTGCTGTGGGGGCCGCGTGCGTGTGTGTGTTTCAAGACAGGAGCCTCTGTGGCAGCGCCCTACAGTTTCCCTGTGTAGTGTGTGTGTGTCTGTGCGAATATGTGTGGAGAAGGGAAGAGCCTTTTTTGAATGAGGTTAGCTCACCATTTAAACGACAGACAAAAGACTCCGCTAATTAAAACTATGGCTACTTGTGTTTCACTCACTCTCCTTCCCTCCTCTCCTCTCGGACCCTCCCCTTTCTCACTCTTACTTTCCACACACATGCACTTTTCAAATGCCTAATTTGTACCCACCGTTGAGTGCTGGGCGGACACACACAGCCTAATAGTAAAAGACAATGTTCTTTGGGTTGCGTCGTCTTAATGAATCCAGCCCACAGGATCAGCGAGGACCCCTCATTGGTCGCCGCCCTGCTGCCTGTTTGTTAGTTGGGCACCTCATACCAGAGCATAGTCAAACCACAGAGAAGAAATTATAGCATGAATGAACACTGACTAATACAGCTTCTATAAAATAACCACTCCATTGTGAGTAGAGATCTCAATGCAGTACCACACCTCAGGGTTTTGGCACACATTGGAGAGGGGGGGAAAACTGCACTTAGCTTTCTGTATTGCACTGTGTGGTATAAGGGTGAGTGGCACTGAATAGAGTGTGAGTTCTGCTGGTTGAAAACCATGCTTTAAATACTGGGATTCAAACATTTACAGCGGAAATTGTGTTAATGTTGCTTTCATAACACGCAAACTGTACCGAATCAATCAAACCAAGGCAACCTCAGGGTAACGTATGTGTAACTAATGGCTTCTTATTGTCTCCACAGAGATCTGAGCGAGAACTTCATCCAGTCCATCCCCAGAAAAGCCTTCAGAGGAGCTACAGACATCAAAAACCTGTGAGTACCTCACCCCTTTCCGCAGGGATGGATGTACTAATGTAATAAATTATGAAAATAGTTGCCAATGAACTTGCTGTGAGCCTCTGATGTAGTGTGGATAACTCGATGAAATCAATGATGAGTGAAGCAAATCAAACTGAAAAGCTGCAAGTGAACAGCACTCAACAGCATAATTCCAGCATGTTAACATATTTCTTTATGTGGCTGAGTTAATAGCCCTTGCTAAGAGTACAAATTGTGTGTATTGGTGTGTTTGTGCATGTTTAGTGGATTGACTCTGATTAAAAAAGACACAAGCAGCTCCCCAAAGATGGCTTGTAGCAACAGTGATTTACACCATCAGCAGATTACATGCACATCCACTCACAGAAGCACAGATTTATGGGATGTATTGATGCAGATAAACATAAGTCACGTCCCCCTTTGCTTCTCTTCTTGGGGGTAACATGATCTGAGATGACTAAGCCAGTATGGATTTACAATAGCTCATCAGTGTACTGCTTACTGTATCAATGAATACAACTACTCCACAGGGAGAGAAATATTGTGTAAGTGTCTTGTGTAACAAAGCCTCTCTTTTTTCCCTGTGTGCTCCACAGTCAGCTGGATAAAAACCACATCGCCTGCATCGAGGATGGAGCCTTCAGAGCTCTGAGGGGCTTGGAAGTGCTGTAAGTACCTGAAGTGACGCTATTCATTCAGCTTCACCTTGCATCAGTCCATTAAAGCACTTAGTTAAATCAAGGCTTTGTTGATAATCATATCTAATATATACACACATAGCGCGGACCTTTAATTAGTATGGCCTTGGTGCTTATGCCAAAATACCCCCAGTGGGCCTCATGAGGGGGCCTGCATGATGGAGACCAAGCTCCATTAACTCATTGTTCCACATAGTTGACAGCAGCGTTCCCCTCCATCACATTAACACCCCCCACTCCTCCACCTCCATCTACACACCCTATCCAGCCTTGGGCGGGCCATCTGACAAGGGAGTACCAACCATCTTGATCAAAAATCCCATTCAAGTGAGCATTCCACCCAAGGCGCAGCAGTGGCCATGTTATGCGTTTTTTTTAAAACATTTAATTAATCATCCCTTGTCAAAAAAAATCATAATCACAGGCCTCTGTCAAAGCTCTCCACCTGAAACAATGGAGGCCGTGGGACAAAGGCACTTTGACAGCCTTGTTATTTTTATTGTGAAAGACTGTGTTGGTGCATGTGTGTTTGTGTGGTTTTTTTTTTTAGGGGGTGGGGAAACAAAAAAAAGCCATTAAAGGCTGCTTTCATGGCATGGATGGATTGCAGATGTAGTGATAGGTTTGTCATTATGCTGTAAGAGGGGGTGGGGGGTGGGGGGGGGGTGATTTGGTGGGGTCTGTGTCTATAGGTTTTATGGGGGAGGAGGACAGGTTGTGTTAAAGGGGGGAGCAGCTTGAAATATGGTCGAGGGTTATTAGGCTGATTGAAATTACCTGATTCTCTCGCTGCAGCTGATGCCCAGGGTTCGATGGGGGGTGTGTGTGTGTGTGTATTTGTGCGTGTGTGTGTGTGTGTGTTGTATCCATCAACTACAAGTTGGGGCGCTTTAATGTGTATGCATGTGTGTATATTTGCATGCACGACTGTACGTGTGCGTGGGAGGTGCGAGGGCTTCCCATCTGTGTGGAATGAGGTGTTATATTCCCAATGGGATGCCACAAAGAGAGACAGCAAGAAGGGAGAGAGGGGGTAGATTAAAAAGGATGGAACGGAAGAGGACGGCCGCAACAAAACTCTTTTTGAAGTATAGATGTAAAAATATCTCCCCCGCACTGACGATATGACTTTGTTTGCTCTTTGCTTCTCACAGAACGCTGAACAACAACAACATCAGCAGCATCCCCGTCTCCAGCTTCAACCACATGCCCAAGCTACGAACCTTGTAAGTCACATTTATCTCCCCACAGTGCCCTATACCTCAGTAAAATAAAAATATATATTCCTCATGCATGCAGGCACACTAAAGAAAGTGCTGAAGCCCCATGTGATCTCAATGGGAGTAGATAGGGTCTGTCATTCCAGGCAGTGTTAGGGAGCAGCCATAACCACAGAGCACCACAGAAGAGTCTGTATCAATGCCAGCAGCCATTATCCCGTCCAACTAAACACACTCAGAACAACAACTGGACCGATAAACAAAAATAGCCCCAGAAGCCTATTGTACATTGTGCATTGTATGTGATTACTAAATCTGAAATTATGCACAAATTAAAACAATTATGCCTGCTGAAAACTCTTAGAGCCGTGACTCCACGGCTCTTGCGGTGGCTTTTTGGGCTTCCTCACTCCCAGTGGGGTTATATTAAATAGCTTTTCTGTTTATGTGTTCACTATGTGTCTTTGCACACAGTTTTGCAAGTGAGCAAACGTGCTCCAGAGG